TCCTTTTGTGCGTCCGATGGATATCTCGGGGAGAAACGAATCGGAGGTCCTGCTGGAAATTGCCGAAAGCTCCTGGAAATCTGCGCTCCTTTCCGCGGGACTCCTCTCGGCTCCTGACAGGATAATTTGTCCGCCACCGGAAAGGATAAGACCGGATGCTTTCGTCTTAGGTAAAAGAAACATTTTGTTAAACCAGTTTCACTTGCCTTGCGACATTTCGATTAATTTACTGATACTGCTCCAAGTGTATTATCTTCAAGATTAAGGAAATAGAAAATACAGGAAAAATAAAATATCACAGATAAATAAGTTTCTCGAAATGAGGTCCTTTTTTAGGAGGTAGCATTTTAGACATTTTATAACTTAGGAAATAATGGAAGAATATGAAAACTGATAAGGTGGCAGAAGTTCCGAAATAAGGTCCTTTTTTAGGAGACAGAATTTTCGGCAATATGGTTTAACCCAAGGAGTCATGGAAAAATGTGGAACCACTGATAAGGTGGAATTTTCTTCGTAGGAAGATTTCTTTATTTTAGGCGGTGGGAATTTGGGTAAAATTTTTTTCACAGAAGTGTGAGATACTTTTGGCCAACATTTTTTAACTTATGAAGTCATGTAAAAATCTGAAACCACTGATAAGGTGGAATTTTCTTCGTGGGAAAATTTCTTTTTGTTTAGGCGATGGTAATTTGGGGAACATTTTTTTCACAGAAGTGTGGGATACTTTTGGCCAACATTTTTTAACTTATGAAGTCATGGAAAAATGTGAAACCACTGATAAGGTGATATTTTCTTCAAGATAAGATCCTTTTTTAAGGCGATAGGATTTGGATAACACTTTTTTCATAGAAGTGTGGGATACCTTAGTTCGTCACGGGCCGTCTGGCGCGGGTTCGACTTCCTATGTCGAATTATCAACATGACAAAGAGCGAAGTGGCGAAGGGACAATGAGAGAGAAAAGTAAAAGCCACACAGGATGTGCGTTTTACGCGAGGGCGGACCTTGAATTCATTCTGAATATTCATCGAACCGATGAGCATTAAGCAGAGCCATGTGAACATCGTAATCGCGTGTGACCTGACTTAGTCACCATTTATTTATTCCACGTAATTCCCCCACGAAACCGCAAAGCTACACCAAAGAAAATTACTGATAACCGTAGGCCACGTGAACGAAGGTGAGATAATTCGGAAATATGAATTTCCCGAAGGAGGAAAATCCAATGAGGGCCGGGAGACAAACTGGCCAGTGAAATTTGCATTTGAAATTCGGTCGCGTTTGCTTAAAGTGGAGGATAGAAGGGGCGAGGAGAAATGCAGGAAAACGGGCCGTTTTAGCAAAGCGGAACAAAAGTCAAAACAAAGAGAAAGGAAAGTCAAAACGAAGACGACCTGGCCCGACACACTTTTAATAACGGCGTTATTTAACATTTAAATGCAAATCCCCCGCGCTTTCGTGGCGAGTTAATTAAGTTTCGTTGGGTGCATCCGCGTAAACGTTGCACTTATCCGAGGAGGCGTTGAAGGTGCGATCGCACAATGCAAAACTTCCCTCATTGGACGTCACGATAATTTCCCCATTGCGGATTCGTTTTATTACTGCGAATGCATTATTAAGAGCTCGCTGATGGGAAGCTCCGAAAGTTTCGCGCGCATTTAATTTACGCTGCATTTAATTCGTAATTCGGCGACTCAACGTTATGCGTAAATGCCGCTTGCATATGAATTTCCTACATTTTCTGGAACAATGATGGCTCGGATTTGTTACCGCGAAATGAGGCGAGCAATAATCTCAAAGCGAAGATAAAAAGGGAGCGCTTTATTAGAGTTAATGAAGAGCGTCGAGCTCAGGACAGGATTCTGTATGTCGGACTTCCTGAAAGGACGAAAAAAGAGGGCGGAAAAGGGGGATCCCGCGCAATTGCGGGAAGAAAAAAGGATTTCCTCGTTACCTCGCATTAATCGGTTTAGACTCGATGCGGATCTCTCGTTGTCCTTCCATCCTGCACCTCTCCTCCGAGCTCGGAATTCCTAAAAAGCCTGAAGATCCGATCAGACGAAAAAAAAGAGGTGTTATTAAATCTCCATTGAAATGTGCCAAAACGCGCGATCGAGAACAGGGAGAGCTCTTTCGACCCCTAACTCTTCTTTCTCGAGTTGGGTGTTTTCAGGGAAGCTTTTAGTCCTTGGCGGGGTTCGAGAGGAAAACGCGAAGACGAAGAGGTCAGACACTGGAAACTCGATAGAAGTCGGAACAATGGCCTCGCCAAACTGAATTTTCAGGACTCGCCGATACCCTCGAGTTTCCCCTAAGGTAGAGGGTGTCCAGGTAATGGTCATTCGAGGCTTCTATCTTTATTTCGAGGTCCAGAATCGAGTCGGACCTAGTCGAACCCAAATCGAATACGATCGGCACAAATGAACCACAAGATGAACTGCTTTGAAAACTATTTTTAAATACACGCTCGAGATCCACTAACCGAAAGAGATATTAAAGTGGCATCTTAAGGATCAATCGGTAATAAAACTTTAAAATTTCACCACGTAAATTCGACCCTAACGTAGGACCTGATTCCCATAAAATTGCATTTTTACAAATAATTAAAAGAAATGGTTACATACGGTTTACAGAAGAAAAAAAAATCGATAGAATTCGGAACAATGGCCTCGCCAAACTGAATTTTCAGGACTCGCCGATACCCTCGAGTTTCCCCTAAGGTAGAGGGTGTCCAGGTAATGGTTATTCGAGGCTTCTATCTTTATTTCGAGGTCCAGAATCGAGTCGGACCTAGTCGAACCCAAATCGAATACGATCGGCACAAATGAACCCCAAGATGAACTGCTATGAAAACTATTTTTAAATGCACGGTCGAGATCCACTTACCGAAAGGGATATTAAAGTGGCATCTTAAGGATCAATCGGTAATAAAACATTAAAATTTCACGACGTAAATTCAGCCCTAACGTAGGACCTGGCTCCCATAAAATTTCATTTTTACAAATAATTAAAAGAAATGGTTACATACGGTTTACAAAAGGAAAAAAAAAATGAAATTTCATGTCAGGATCTTCCTCAGGGTCACCATTTCTACGTGGTGAAATTTGTAACGATTGATTCAGAGAAAAGTGTCATATATGAGACTCCCTGAATACCACTGTGATATCGCCTTAACCCTTTCGTTACCTTGGACGAGATATCTCGCGACCCAATACTGGCCGATTAATGCTTTTGACGAGATATCTCGTTCGCGAGATATCTCGTCAAAAGCGTTGATCGGCCAGTATCGGGTCGCGAGATATCTCGTCAAAAGCGTTAATCGGCCAGTATTGGGTCGCGAGATATCTCGTCAAAAGCGTTGATCGGCTACTACCGGGTCGCGAGATATCTCGTCAAAAGCGTTAATCGGCCAGTATTGGGTCGCGAAATATCTCGTGCAAGGTAACGAAAGGGTTAAGGAACATCTAGAATACGATTACCAGGTGATCCATCCACCAGTGCAGTTCATTTACATTCCATATAATCGAGATCAATCACCCTGGGGAGTCCATCAGGGTTCCATCGACCCCATATCAGAGGACCTCCGAAAGTAGCCCGATCAAGAAATTGAATTTCCTTTCACGAATTCTTCTTCTTCCTCGAATTCGTGGAAATACATGTCTGGCAGCATCCGGAGGCAAATACATCGGACGACGTCTCGTCATTTCTGCATTGGCCCGTAAAACGACGGCTCGGCCGTATCGACGTCCACCGTAGCGACGCCCGACGAAGCGTGCTCGAATGGGCGGTTTTATCGGGCGGTCTCCTTACGTCCCATCGACGACGGCGATGACGACGACGTCGACGACGACGCCCGGCGTCGGCCGAGTGGCCCTGGCCGCGGGAGAGCACTTTCATCGCGACAGAGCAAGCGATACCCGATCGTAAACCCTGGGCGCAATTCCCGCCCGGCGGGAATTTCATTAGCGCCCGTTCGCACGACTGTCCGCCCACGGGGCCGCACCCTTCAAAGCCGAGCCGAACCCGTTCCCACGTCGTTCGGGTCGATCGAAAGGATCGATCGCCCGATCGATCGGACGTCCGGGTCGATCCGACTGCCGCCGACGTCCGTATCCGCCAACCGGTACCGATTAAGACCTAATCTCTCGGAATCTGTCTCAAATTCGCATCTGCATATTGCCTCCCCGCGGGCCGAGTTTCGGGGACATTTAAATGCCACTTTGCAGCCCCGAGGATGTCCCTTAGGTGGCATTTCAAAAGGACGAGAGAATTCACTCGACTCATTTTCAAATCAACGTTCATTTCCCAAAGTGAAGGTAGGAAGAGAATCGAATCCTAATACATTCGAACTAATGGAATACATGTTGAGACACGGGCTTAAAATGTTGACTGTAATCGTAAATCCTATTATATTCAAACTAATGGGATACATGTTGAGACACGGGCTAAAACTATTAACTGTAATCGTATAAAGTATGTTGCCAAAAAACGTGCTTTACCCGTATCAATGTCCGGCTTTTCCGCGACAAATTCAACGTTGACATTCAACGTCTATTATCCTATCGTTTTAGTCGCGCAACATAAACGTCGTTTAAACGCAGTCCGCACATAAAATAATCGTTCGTAATCGTTTACTCTACGTTCAAGTAACGTTAAAACGTAACGTTAAAGTTTCTTCTCGACTACGGATAAACGCATCGAAAACTAGCCATGTAAACTGAAAATGTTTTATAATTGTATATTTAACGTAGGGAGAAAACTGAATATTTACCCCAACCGCCCTATTTCCCCAAGATTTACGTGTATAAAACATGAATTCCACCATTAAGTATTTATTGGAATGGTTTTTAATTTATGTGTTGTCCTTGAAAATAAAATCGGGTACCGTACCGCAGAGTGTATTCAATAATTTACATTTATTTGAAAGGAAGACACCAAAATTGATGCTTGCAATTTGCTTGGAAGGGTTCATGACGTGAACTGACTGTTACTGAATTTTCAGCTGTACTTCGTGCTGACAGTCTTACTCCTGTTTAACGAGGCTGCGAGCACCGAGACGACAACTGCACCGGTGTCGTCGACTCTCGGTGCTCTGTACCGTCAGGCCAGGTCCGATCAGTACTTCTCGAACAGATACGGAAGTGACGGGACGTCTTTCAGTTCCGGTGCCATCGGCGTCAGATCCGAGCCGGTTGAACATCGCGACGCTGCTTACTTCGAGTCGCGATGCCTCACTTGCGACCCTGCAAAATCAGTAGCCGCGGAAAGAAGGTAGAAAAAAAAAAATGTTTTAAATAGAGTACCTCGTATTTAACAATTCCAAGGAACGGCATATCCATTAAAATTTCATGAGCCATTTCTAATTAAATCTCCCTGCCCTGAAAAGTACGTACTCCAGACCGAGGCCACGATCCAGGTACGACTACTACGAGGACGAGATCGAAGATCGCCGCTATCGAGATCGATACGACGAGTACGTCGATCGATCCAAAGCACCGGCTTACGATTACGATCGATACGACCGGTACAGGAAGAACGAGCTCATGAGACCGACGTACGTCGACCGGTACGGGAGAAATAAACTCCAACGTATTTTCCAAGTCCTATGGAACCCTGACCATCGATCATTAATATCAATTTAATTTTTTTGTAGATACGACGGAAGCTACGATCGCGACCGCTACTACGATGGATTTTACGACCGCCTCCACGATCGCGGGAACGGATATGACAACTTGGACTCCCGATTCCCATACGACCCCCGATACGACCGCTATAATGGTTTTCGCCGTCCTATGGAAGATCCGTACTATAGTCGGTACGACCGTTACAATCGACCCCAGGGAAGCGGATACGATCGATACGATCGATACGATCGATACGAGCCATACGACCGAATGCCTTGGAGAAGGCCCTACGACGACCGATACGATCGGAACGTCGGTCGGGGGGGTCCCGATGGAAGAGGGGTGTACTACACTTCCGGGGTATGGGGTCCAGGATACGACAGGGGGTACGCCAGTGCCTGGAATTACGCCGGAAACCGGGAAAACTGGAGAGACCTCAATCGAGATCGAGACGGCGGGTGAGATGTCGACTTTCCTGCCAATGGATTGACAGAACTTTTGTCCAATTTTCTTGAACAGAAGAACCGAAAATCTCTATCTCCTCGATTTTCTATATAAACGTCTGGGATATCGAACGGTTCTATCTATAAGGCGAGACCTTTCCGTGCAGCGGATTGCGGATCAATTGTTTCAAGTCAAGAGGGTGTCCTTAATAATTCTAGGTATTCTCGTTCCAGACTTTATCGACCCAGGGACTATTTTTATGACAGCACCGCGGCTCCTGGAGGATCTCGAGGCACCAGCTATTTACACGATCGGCCTGAGTCCTCGACCAAACCCGAGCTGAACGATCGAGAGAAGCATGCAACAAGTCTGCCGCAGTCGCAGGATAATAAGGTGTACAAGGACTAGGAGAAACAAGGATGCTAACTAAATTCACGCGAAGGGAGATCGATTGTCTAGCCCTGATTTACAGGAGGATTCTCGATCGACGATGACTATACTGCCGATACCGGGTCTTTTGGCAATTTCGATCGATTCGCAGCGATCATCCGTCAATTTAATGACTTCTTTGTCCACTGATCGACCGCGATCGGTTCAATAATTTTAATTAATCGCGCGCGGATTGGTGCGCATTTACGGTCCCATAGAAGTCCTTTTAATCTTGACCTATGTATCACGTCATGTAGCCATTTTATACGAATATGCAATACATAAAACGAATACTGCTAGTTGCATCTAGTGCGATAAAGAATAAAATTTTATCGACTTTATCGAATTTTGATGACTTCTTTGTTCACTGATCGAACGCGATCGGTTTAATAATTTCAAATAATCGCGCGCGGATTGGTGCGCATTTAAGGCCCCATAGAAGTCCTTTTAATCTTGATCTATGTGTCACGTCATGTAGCCATTTTATACGAATATGCAATACATAAAATGAATACTGCTAGTTGCATCCAGTGCGATTAAGAATAAAATTTTATCGACTTTATCGAATTTTGATGACTTCTTTGTTCACTGATCGAACGCGATCGGTTTAATAATTTCAAATAATCGCGCGTGGATTGGTGCGCATTGAAGCCCCCTTAGAAGTCCTTTTAATCTTGATCTATGTGTCACGTCATGTAGCCATTTTATACGAATATGCAATACATAAAATGAATACTGCTAGTTGCATCCAGTGCGATTAAGAATAAAATTTTATCGATACGACTGACGGAATTGTGTTGTTTATATTATTTTGGAAAGGTAGTAGGCATTAATTTGACGAGATTGCGAGTTTGGTAAGTACTATAAATGCGCGTATGAAAGTTTAACCTGGGTTTCTAATGGAAATCGATACAAGAAGTCCTGGAGACGTTGATTGCATCCTGCAACAGGATCTAATGAAGACAGGACTTAGGTACACCCACCGATAAGACGCTATCATGAAATGGTAACCCGTTTATTCAAATTTTCACATATTCATTGAATATGAATTTAAAAAATAACCTTTTCACTTAAGATTCTATAAAATATACACCTCAACGATAGGCAACAAATGCATATATTTCCAAAACGTGGCCTTAGTTCCCACGCTCGAGAAAATCTTATTGGAACGAGGAAATATCCCGGAGGCGTTCCTTGCACCTTGTTGCATGATCCAACAATGGATATAGGCGGCTTACATTTTCCCGTGCAAGTCATGAGCACAGGGAATTTATTACGCCCCTGTAATCCCTTCTTTTACACCGCCTCTTCCGCGGAGTTTAATGTTTTACGATACCACGACGAAGTAAAGTGTTCAATACAACCCAGTCGGTAGCGATTTTCTCACGTCACGTTAAACCTCCAGAATGTTCCAAAGTCACATTTCAAGTTAACGAGTCGAAAGTATTAAGGTAAGTGTACCAGTGGCCGAACACCTAAGACGCCGTTGAGATTCCGAAAAAAATTTAGCGTATAAAGACCAATATGAGGTACAGATGACTTAAATGAACGAAAAGATTAGGATTTCTAGTTTCCAAAACACATACTATGTACATAGAAATATTGAACAATTTATTATTTATGTTGCAAGAAGGATGGAAAAATCGAACGTACTAGGTTCTGCACGACCATTATTCATTACATCCCAGGGTTCGAATATTAAGAAACGCAGTCTCCGAATAAAGATTTAGCATATAAAGACCGATATGGGGCACAAATGACTTAAATGAACGAAAAGATTAGGATTTCTAGTTTCCAAACCGCATGTTATGTACATAGAAATATTGAACAATTTATTATTTATGTCGCAAAAAGGATGAAAAAGTCGAACGTACTAGAGTCTGCACGACCATTATTCATTACATCCCAGGCTTCGAATATTAAGAGACGCAGTCTCCGAATACAAATTTAACATACAAAGACCGTTATGGGGTACAAAGGACTTAAATGAACGAATAGATTAGGATTTCTAGTTTCCGAAACACATGCTATGTACATAGAAATATTGAACGATTTATTATTTATGTCGCAAGAAGGATGGAAAAGTCGAACGTACTAGGGTCTGAACAGCTATTATTCATTACATCCCAGGGTTTCAACATTAACCCCTTGTCTTGTGATTTAAATCCCAATAGCACGTGCCATAAACTACAAAAATGTCGGTCATACATCGGGCCATTTCACGGTTTGGCTGAACGTTCAACGTCTCACACGTCTCTCATACGTTTTGTCTACATTTGGCCCGATTGACATACCACATCTCTCACACGTTTTGTTCACGTTTGGCCCGATTGATATACCACGTCTCTCACACGATATTATAAGTTAAGAGGTTAAGAGACGCAGTCTCCGAACGCCCATGGATTTTTCTCATAGGTGGAGGCAATGCGTATTTATCCCGATGAGCTACACCCCAGCGTATGACATTACGATCGACAATCAACGGTAATTGTTTAATTTCATTTAATTACAACTGCGTTGAACAGGGGTCCCAATACGGAATCATGCAATGTTCGGTTACTATAACTACCCCACTCCGCACGTCCGGATGTATTCGTACAGCGTTCCGATACAAGTACATCGTATGTTTTGTCTGTTTCGATAATAGAACGCGAAGATTGTATTGCTAAATCTAGTTTTACACGAAAATAAACAGCTGCATGTGATACTCTATTTTTTCCTGAACAAGGTAAGCTGTAACCTTTTCCATAAAGACGTAAAAGCTAAACGGTAAGTACTAAAAAGCTTTCCTCGTTCCTTAGCATTTTCCTCAAGGAATACGTTGAAGCAATCTCCGGAACGTGCAGACCTGAATAAACATCTAAGATTAGACTGTAATCCACGCAGAACGGTAATCGTCAATTTTCTTATACGTCAATTAAATATTGACGGTCCTCTTACAGTTTCTACGATTGCAATTACATCCATGGAATGCTTAATAAAGGGAATTATTTGAACTGGTGTTCAGCGACTGGGATGTATTCGACCACTGGGACACTTACCTTGTATTTCCAGGAAAAACATATTTTCAAAATTTCATCGGAACTCTCATCGCACTAACATATGTTTTTTTAAGAGATTATATAATCTATAATTAAACTTTGTATTTCATAATACTCTCAATTTCATAACTCTCATCGCACTAACATATAACTCTGTATTTCAATAAACTCTGTATTTCATAAATCCAAAAATTCTCAAAATACCACCAATCCTCATTGCACCCCTTGCCGATATATAATTAATGATTAAACTTCGCAGATTGAAAAAATTCTCAAAATTTCAGCACAACCCTCGTCGTACCCCCCAATATATAATTTACAATTAAACTCGGATAAGGGAAGCGTAAGTCGTTACCGCTCGACTTGAATTTTCCCTCTTCCGCGAAAATCCTAGCGAAGGAAAGTGTACAGAGAGAATCAGAAGCGTGGGTAGCCCCACCCCTCTGGTTCGATAATTGGATCGAGTAATTGCACCGCCTTAACGAGACCTAAGTACCAGAAACTGAACCATTCGCCCTCATCAACTGACTCCTACGCAATTTCTCAGCAGCATCCAGTACCTTTAGTACCTTTCAGGATCCCCAATATACCAAAGTAAGAATTTTTCCATTATTGACATACACGCACCGAAGTTTGGGGGTAGTTGGCGAACGAGAGGATTTCCATGTACCTCGACTTACGGTTCGATAATCAGCCAAAGGGGCGGCTTACATTTTCCCTAGCAAGACGCGAACACCAGAAATTAATCCGTTTATGACACCGCACTTCCGGCCCCCTCCTTCGCCCTATCCTTGCCTCTTCCTGGCCACAGCATCCCAATAGAACTTCGGCGAACTGCCGGGGAAGTTCCATCGTTGGAGAAATTTATGTTTCGAGTTTGGTAACTATTGTGTATCGATTTACGTTCGCGGAACGGTTTCCCCCGCGAGTCGCGGCTTTAGTTTCGAGGCTAGGACGTGGTTACCAGCCTGGAGATTTCCAGGCCCGGGGCTTCGGTTTCGAGAAATCGTTCTTTCGTTCCCCCCGACCCCCTTTATCTGTTTTCGAAATCATAGAAAGTTTCAACGACTCCGGGGTGGAACAGCTGAGCGTAACTTGCCGGCCAATTTCGAGGGTGGGACCGGAAGCTGGACACTTCTTCCGGAAGAATGTCCCAACGATGGCCAGAACGATGCCCGAAAGTCGTTTCATCCGCGTTATTGGAGAAGACGAACTCGTATCTCGTATTTCCTCATAAATGATGTACCTGGAAACGTTCCTCGTTAGAAAGAAAAATTGCAATAATTAGTTAGACGATTTTGGTGCCATTTACCTTGGGTCCGAATTATCGGCGTAGATAATGGTATTGGAGGAAGTAAAGAGAAGGAATTCGAATGTCGCGCTGAGATAGGCTGGGATGACGTCCTTAGGAAGTCTGAATCTAACACTTCTTCCGGAAGAATGTCGCAACGATGCCCAGAACGATGCCCGGAAGTCGTTTCATCCGCGAAATTGGAGAAGACAAACTCGTATCCCGTATTTCCTCCTAAATGATGTACCTAAAAACGTTCCTCGTTAGAAAGAAAAATTGCAATAATTAGTTACACAAATTCGGTGCCATTTACCTTGGTTCCGAATTACCTGTATAGATAATGGTATCGGAGGAAGTAAAGAGAAGGAATTCGAATGTCGCGCTGAGATAGGCTGGGATGACTTCCTTAGGAAGTCTGAATCTATTGGATTTCGGGTAGATTCGCGTAGACCGGAAGCAGATACGTCGAGGCTTGTGTCGAGGAACGCAAATAGATACACAATAGTTACCAAACTCGAGGCATAAATTTTACAGGCGGAACTTCGGCGCTACTTCCAAAGTTGGGGAGCGCGAAGCACATAGGAGGTCACTGGAGGGTTGGATGAGGAAGACCCGAGTCGTAAACGGATTAATTTCTGGTGTTTCCA